GTACGCGGTGACAGGAAGGAAAAGAGTGAAGGAGAAAGGCAGGCACAAGACTGTCCAACCTAGAGAACAAGTGGACTGGGGGAGAGCTGGGGGTTGGGTGGCCACACGGGCTGTGTTGAAAGCTAGGTCCTCTGGAGCAGGAAGGTGCCGCTGGTATATTGTCCCCCGGGTTCTTCCTAGCTCAAGGCAGACAGGACCCTGGAGTTGAAGGCTGGAAACAGTGTGGCTTGGGACAGAGCACAAACACAGACTTCCTGAGAATATACTTCCAAAGCTCAACTCTTGATTTCACCTCCCTTCCCGTCCTCCCACAAGCTAAGGATTCTGCTCTGGGAAGCAGTCGAGGTGAGAGACTACTCTAGAGAAAAGCAAGCCCCCCACCCCCATAGCAGCAGGCTGGCTCCTGTGCTTTTCCAGAGGTAAGGAAGGAGTTAAGAGCAGTGCCCAGCACCTAAGGACACTTCCCAGTGTCCTGGGACAGGAGGAACCTATCATTCAGAGCTCCTCCTGGGGCCAGCAGGTGGCACAGTGGTTGAGGCACTAGACTCCCACATGGCTAACCATGGTTTAAGTTCCGGACACAGTGGCTTGAAACTCATGTCCGGTTCATGTGTGTGTGTGTGTGTGTGTGTGTGTGTCCCAAATCCCAAGAGGCGACTGGAGGAGAAGGCTGGAAGGCATGGCTGCTCCTACCCTGCAAGTCAGGAGTCAGGAGACAGGGGCTCAGGGGTGTGGGAGCACTCTGCTCACATATGGGTCTTTCTAGAAAGTGTCTATTGCTCAGTAGATTTAGATCTTCAGGGACATTTATGAACAATGGCAGAAGAAGAATTACCCAAATAAATATGGTAGCAAGCAAAACAAAATTGTCCTTCCTTATTCTCCTGTTTGTTTGTTCGTTTTTTGTTTTTCTGATGTTGTATGTGGCTCCAGCAGACTTGGTGGTTGGAAGGACAACAACCTAGACCCTGAAGGAACAGGGCTAATCTGAAAGATGCTTAAGTGCTGGGGGATGATCTGGGTTGGAGGGATAAAGATAATAGTCAACCTGCCTGAGACATGGCCTGACGTATTGCCTCCTCCTCGCCTCTCAGCGCCGTCATTCCCCCCATTTGACAGGTGAGGGAATGGGCCTGGAGCAGCAAAGTCTCTGACCTGAGATCCCATAGGTAGCAAGGGGTTGGAGCAGGATTGGAAGCTGGGATTGAGTGATTCAAATCTAAGCCCCTGGTCTGCTCTGTTCTGCTTTTAGCTTCACATCAGCCATGGTGATCTGGCCCAAATGCCTAAAGTCAGATGAGGCAGTTCATCCGGGATGTCAATAGGCCACAATAAGAGAGAGAACTAGACACCAGCAGATTGGCTATCTGTGCTGGTACATCCTCTTCCCAGTTAAAAAACAAAACAGAAACCCTCTTGAAACAAGTCGATTAAGATAATTAGCATGGTTAACTTCAGGTTACTACAGATGGGTGTTCTTTAGAGCTATTTTCATCAAAATGTGCTCCTTTATTACATTTTCATTTTCCAGCGAAGGCAGAACATGAGAAACAGCTGGTCCGGGCTTCCTCTCCCAGGAAGATGTGCAGAGAAACACTGGCACCTTTTACATTCAGGTTATTGCAAAAGCGTCTATTGAGCACCTGCTACTAGGTCGTCAGGAAAGTCATGATGTAGGCAAAAATGCATAGAGCTGGGGTCAGAACTTCAGAGTTTTCAATACTAATGTCCTTAAACATCAAGTTTCTTCCTGGGTTAAGCTTGCTGGGAGAATGAGGACTGACCATGAGTAGAGGGTTGGGTTTCAGGTGGATGGGGAGACATCATCTCTGTGGAGAGATGAAGGCATGAGTGTCTCTGTGCCATGTGGCTACCTGTTCATCCCAAGGCATTTAGCCCTGGTGACTGCTAAGAACTTGAGACAGACATGAGCCTAGATGGCTAGGAAAGGGAATAGGGATGCCCTGGAGTTCTGAACCTCCAGAACTGGTCATGAGAACTCAAAGCTGAGAATAAGGAAGAGTTGAAAACTCAATATTTTAAAGAGAGCCATAAAAAACAGGCATCTGTCCCACTCCCCTAGAGTTAATAATGAGGAATAAGAGGCAGCTTAACTGTCTTGGTCATCTGCAGTGATCACCCAGCACCACCCTATCCCAGTCTACAGAAACAAAAGACTAGGCGATGGGAGGATAAAAGTCATCAGAGTTTGGGGCAATCACCTGGGTGGTGGTAAGGAGGGCATGGTAGAATGTGTCATATCTCTTGGAAGCTAAGATAAAGATAAAGGGGCTACCAGAGAATGGAGGATGTCACCTTGTGCCATCTAAGCAGGGATGGGACAATGGTGGAGACGATAGTGGGAGTGTGGTGATGGGATGTCATCTGTTCTCATCATTTGGCAGAGCAAGAAGGTGTGAGTTACCCAAGGGTGAGGGGATCACAGGCAACGGTGGAAGTTCTCGGAGTGTTGGAAGGAGTCAGACCAGGTTAAATTTCCTGAGACGAAAAGACCAGAGAACTCACATTCTAGCTGCAAAAGACAGCCAACATTGGGTGCCTGACTCACAGTAGACATCAAGAGCTACTCGATATCGGAACCAGCAGTTAGCGTAACAGCTATGTCACTGGACTCAAACATAGTCGGACCGCAGTTCCAGTCCCAGGCCCAGTGGCTTAAAACTCACGTCAGGCGCATGTGCGTGCATGCCCAAGATCCCAAGAGGAGAATGGAGGAGAATGGAGGAGAAGGGATTGTGGCATGGCCATTCCCCCTGGGGGGTGATTTCTCGCTTTCTGTCTCTCTCTGTCTGTCTGGCGAGTGCACGCGCCCTATAGCAAAAACCTCTCCAAAAAAAAAAAAAAGAAAGAAAGAAAGAAAGATAAAATAAAGAGCTACTCGATATTAACTAAAGCATGGTTTCTTGAACTGGGGTCACTGTTCCCTTAGGAAGCCATACAGGGCATTTTATTCCATTTTGGCAACTTACTCTTCTTCCTCATGCAATTTTAATGAGCAGGGACACCATATATCTAGCTATGCGTAGTGGCCTTTTAGAAGGCCACAAAGCATTGTAAGATTTTTATTTTTTCCCATTCCTCAAGAACTCCCAATTTTGCGGGGAGGGCAATATTATT